TATTCAGTGATGTCGCGTAGTGTTTCCTGCTTTGCTCTGACAGTTGCAGTGAAAGTGTCCTTTGTGGTTGTGTACTTCAGTTTTTGAGTGTTGAACTTGCATTGTGGCCTATCCCCAGCTATCCTCAAGGCTTTTAGCTTCACCTTGAAAGTCTCTTCTACTAGATAGTGGTCTGAACCCACATCACACATTGGAAGAACGGATACTTATTCAAACTACCAAAGAAAGGAGAATTAGCTCAATGCGAAAACTGGCGCGGAATTATGCTCCTGTTCATCCCAAGCAAAATACTAAGCCGAATCATCCTTGAGAGAATCAAACACACCAACCTGGATGAAAAACTTCGACTGGAGCAGGCTGGATTCAGGAGAAACTAGTCATTTATTGATCAAATCGCCACACTACGGATCATCATTGAACAAAGCTTCATTGACTTTGAAAAGGCCTTCGACAGCGCAGCGTCGATCGAGAGGTAATTTGGAAACTACTTCGCCACTACCAAGGGGTGCCATCGACAGTTATAAGCTTCATCCAACAGTTGTACGACACTGCTGCATGCCGAGTAATCCACAACGGGAAACTTACGGAATCCTTCGAAGTGAGGGTGGGAGTAAGACAAGCTGGCTATCTACTATCGCCAATGATTTTCCTGATTGCAGTAGATTGGATAATGAGACAAACAGCGGGCGATTGGGAAACAGGTATAAAATGGACTCACACAAAATACTTGGAGGATCTGGACTTCACCGATGATATATATTTTTAATATTGTTAAATTCCATACTCGACTTGATAAAACTCTTGACCTAGTGTTCATTAATGATGAGGAAATATATGAAGTACGCCGACGTGCTCCTATCATGAACTCAGATCATTGTATTATTCGGATATTACCTAAGATATACAGCAGATCTCACTTTAATATCTTCTCAAATCTGTCCAAGAAAACACAGCAAAGGTGTTACTCACAAGAAAATATGCTCAAACTAAGATGCATGCTAAATGACACTAACTGGGAACTTTTCAACGAACACAAACTGGATGATACTATTTCCAATTTGACTGACTATCTTAAATTCTGTATTGATATATGCTGTCCAAAACAGATAATTTTCAAAAGAATGGATCGTTTCGCTTCCCCTCATCTCAAAAAGCTTCGTAGAGAAAAAGAGAAGCTGTACAAGACAAAGAATAAATCTGGTCTTAAGAAGATAAACACCCAAATTAAATCTGAAATCAAGAGACTAAATAACATTTATAATCAAACAATACTATCTTGTAAAACCTCAGAAAACATATGGAAGCTTTCTAGAGAAATTACTGGTTGTGGTAAGCATAATAATTTTGCCTCTTCTATTGATGTAAATACTCTCAATAGATCTTTCATCCGCCCTCCAAATGTCCTTTCTGCCTTCAGTTTAACTAATAACACAACCAGTGACTTTCAGAATTTCAATGCTTCTGATGTTCTTAAATGTTTAAAATCTCTTAAACCTTCCCAGAGTCTAGGCCCTGATGGTATACCTGCCATTGTTTTAAAGAAATGTGCTGATATTTTAAGTAACCCACTTACAAGCATTTTCAATACTTCTTTTTCTAATAATAATGTACCTTCTCTGTGGAAAGATATTAAAATCATCCCTGAACCGAAGTCTGGTTCTGGAGATAGTGTTAAGTTTAGACCAATTGCCACTACCTCTCCTTTTTGGAAACTGATGGAGAAATTACTGTCACAAAAACTCATTCCCTCCCTAAGCTTCTCAAATGATCCAAAGCAGTTTGCTTACAAACAGGGTAGAAGTACTTTGGATGCTGCTGCTATGTTTCATCACAACATTGTATCCTCCTTAGACAAAGGGGCCAAGTATGTCCGTTGTACTTTCCTTGATTACACATCTGCTTTTGACTCTGTACCTAGAGGCCTTTTGTTAAACAAGCTTAGCCTTACACAAACTGAGTCCTGGGCTATCAACTGGCTGCACTCTTACTTCTCCAATAGGATGCAGTACACGGTATATAATGGTGTAGCTTCCTCTCCTTTGCTTACTGAAGCTGGTGTTCCTCAGGGTGCTGTTCTCTCGCCGTTTCTCTTTTCCTTCTTCTTACATGACTTACCTCTCTCAGACGAAATCAACTTCGTCAAATATGCAGATGACCTGACTGTTTCGCTTCCCGTTAAGTCTCAGTCAGACTGCTTCAAATTAAATAGCTTCCTGTCGGACATCAGTCAGTGGTCTAAACTAAATGGCCTAACGCTGAATCCCTCAAAATGCCAGACTGTCGACTTCTCCTTTAGGCATAAACGAGATCTACAAACACTAGTAAGCACTCATGATGTCTGTAGAATTGAGGGGACTATAATTGAAACAAAGTCTAATGCAAAATACCTCGGATTAGTTATATCTTCCGACCTTACCTGGTCATCTCATATCCAAATGATTTCCAAGAAAGTGTTTCGTCTAACCTACTACATTAAGAAACTCAGACTAACTGGAGTCCCTCAACCTCTGCTTTCACAATTTGTCAACTCTCGTATCCTACCTATTCTACTTTACTGTTCCCCGTTAGTCTTTCCTGGGTTACTGAAAAAGGATTATACCATCCTGAGAAGGATGTTGAAGGTAGTTAGTAGGACTAGCGGTGTAAAACTCAGTCAGCTCGTCACAACATTAGTGGATAAGCATCTGAATACATGTGAGAAATGGTCTAAAACCATACTCTCTGACCCCCAACACCCCCTCTATTCCCAACTCTCTCCCTGCATCTCATCAGGTAGAACCAGAAATCAGTACAAAATAATATATGCTCGTACAACCAAGTATAGGAACTCAACGATACCATATTTGGCCCGTGTTCTAAGTGACAGAGACAATGTTAGGCGTGAAACCTATGACTTGCTTTGTTGTTAATAACATAATTTTGGCCCTTGTTATTTCCCCCTTACACTCTCTTATTTGTACTCTATAGTGAATTTTTTTTTTTTTTTTTTTTTTTTTTTTTTTATTATTATCATTGGCTTACATTTTTATTCTGTATTCTATTCCTTCTTTGTACATCTACTGGGTCCGACTATATTATCACTATGATTATTAAAAATTGTCCCGTCATTAACCATCATGTAACATTAGTTTTGTGGTTGTTCTTTGTTCGGCACTATTTAACTGACAATCTTGTTTGTTATTGCCACTATCACCATCTTAAAAAAATTTGTATTATGCATGATTCCTCACACTACCACTACAAACAACCGCATTAGTGATGACAATAAAAAAAAACAACCTGAAATGTTTATCTTATGATTGCTTAGTGTTGTTCAATCAAATTAACTGATCATCTTGGCTATAAACATTTTTAAGAACATCTCATAATTTCCTGTATGATTATAGCTGTTACTGTTCACCATGCATACACATATCGTAGCTTCCACTAACCAATACTGAAATATTTTTTCATTATTTGTGTTTATCTTCCTTTTTATTTGGTATTTTTATTTGCATATTTTGATATTTCTGTGTTTCTTATTTTGGTGTTTTGTTGTTTTTTTTTTATATATTTTATTTTTTTTTATAATACTCCTTTTAAATGTACGATGAAATTAGATGCAATATTGTAGATATGTGCTGAAAATTCCACACTGTACCACAAGTACTGTTTCTGGAATAAAGCGAAATTGTTATTGTTATTGATATTATATCTGATTTCCCACAAACTGGAACATATGCAAGTGAAAAGCGACAAGTTGGTAGAAGGAGGATCCAGAGGAGATAGACCTTCAGGTGAACATAGATAAAACTGAGGTGATGAATATTCCTGGCCAACACCAACAGCAACAACAACAGACAACAATCAGGAAGCATAAATGAGAGGAACCTGAAAGAAACAACCTCCTTTACCTACCCACCTACCTGGGAAGCATCGTTTCAACTACAGGCGGGCGGAACTGACGAGGATATCAAAGCCAGAATCCGAAAAGCAAGACAAGCTTTCATTACTCTCAAGCCTGTGTGGAGGTCAGCAGCACTCAGAATCAAAAATAAGATCCGGATTTTCAACTCCAATGTGAATTCAGTGCTACTCACTGTACGGATCAGATACTTGGCCAGCGCGTCATAAAGAGCATCTCAAACAAACAACAGACATTCATTTACAGTTGTCTTCGCTCAATACTACTCAAGATCAGATGGCCGGCTAGAAAACATCAGCAACAGGGATCTCTGGCAATGAGCGAACCAACCAGGAACCGATTATGGCCATACTCTGAGGAAACCATCAAGTGACATCACTAGACAAGCCAATGCTCGAGTGGAACCCGAAAGTGAAGCGGCGAGTTGGTCGTCAGTGCAAGGGTGACTTGGATCAGGTCATGTGAATAGGAGATGAAAGCGTGTGTGCAGACGTGGAGCCAGGTGAAAAATCTAGCATAGAACCAAACGTAATGAAGACGCTCGGCTGAAGCCCTATGTTCCTCTAGGAATTAAAGGATATAATAATAATATTGTATGCCGAAATTCATATGTACTATGAGTATTAATAGAAGTATTAAACATTCATGCTTCAAAGACCATATTTACGCATGATTGTCTCGTTTTGTGCATGTGAAATGCGATGCTGAATTTTTGAGCTGTTTTTGCACAAGTAAACATGTCATATTATCATGGGACATCAATTTATGATAAGCTTTCTCCTATGACGTTATCTATTTTTGAAATTCATGTTTACAAACCGAATTGACATTAATTTGTTTTTTACTTCATTATATCGCTATTTACCAGTCTTTCGACTGACATGAAAGGCGAAACGTTCATCCTGGTAAATGACCAATGAAATATCTGAATTAAACAAAACATTTCAAAATTGTTACATTATTTGATTCACATTTTAAAACAATAACAAAAATAATAAAGAAAGTAATAAGTAAACTAAAGGATTTAAACTTGTTTACCCCTTCTACGACTGTATAAATACGCAGTTCAACGACAAGAGAGATAGTTTTCAGAAGAATGATGTTAGCAAAATCATTATCTTTGCTGCTTTTCGTTGGAGTAATCAGTGAGTTCCAGTGTATTAAAACTCACCATGATATTTTACACTCTGTGGTTTATTCTTAACGTAATTTCCTGTCAATTAATTTAATATTGACTGTGTTTCATTGAATAATAATGCTTCACCCCACATTTCAAAATGGTTATAACAGTTTTAAACGCCACTCAATAAACTGTCAGTCTGCGGAGTCGAGTTTTATCTCTTGTGAACTGCATACCACTTTAGAATGGGCGATTTTCTTTTCGGTCATTTTGTCTGAATAAACTTGTCAATTAGAAATACTCAAAAGTATGTTTTGTGAAACTATCAATTAAAAATTGACAGAAGAAAGCTTTGAAGTTTCAGTTCCGGTGTGGTTTTCATAGGTTGTAGTTGTTGGCTTTTGCCAAACTTCATTCCTTTTTAAGCTAACTACTTACGAGTGAAACAGGAGAAGATTAGGAATGTATGAGCCGGAAATTGACCTTGAAATAGCCGGCATTCTGCCACTGAACCACTTTTAATCGACCTGTAAGTAGATCTTTTCTAATGAATTCAATTGACTTCCATTTTTTAAATACATTTTTCATGATGAGCATATTCAACCGGCCTATTTGCAGTTTGTTCACAATCAGTAATGCCTTCAAAACGCAATAAAGGTTAATCCAAATACTTAACATCCTTTTGAACTTTCTCTAAATGCCAGCGATAAGTAAGCATTAGGATGCATTAATGCTCTAGAAATGCCTAATTTTTATTCACACTATCAATGAAATACTTTATTTTATTATGCCATAAATGGAGTACTTGTTTATACTGACGTAATAAGACTATCTAATTCGATTGTGTAAGACGATATCTGGTGACATAACCCATCTTTCTCTCTAATTCTTTTTATTACATTTTTTTTACCATTTCACAAAATGTACCAGCACTTTTGTGACTGGTAATCTAATTGTGCCTGATTTTCTGTTAACTCAGCTTTCTGTCAAACCAGAGTAGAATCGTCACCAGTGAAAGATACTATGTGTGCGTCTATGCTTTTATTATCTCGTAAAGTTTTACGTTTAATTTTCAAAAATTTTAATCTTCATGACAGCCACTTCCTTGATAATCTACCATGTTTTTAAAGCAACAATTGTGAATCTATATAGGATTGGGTGCACCTTCGTTAAGAGTAGATGAGGTATTAATTACAAAAAAGTTTTCTTGACCACTGAATCCTGATTGAATTTTCAAATTATGTCGTTAAACGTCACCAACTAAATGGACTAGACTTCCAGTATTTAAACAAAATTATATAAGAAAAGCGTTGAAATTTTTTTTCTGTTTGCATATAATTGACCTGCTTGAAATAATTTTCAGTGCTGATAAATTCTTTACCTTAAATAAACATGACGATCTATTCTTTTTGTTTGTATAAATCAGTTTTGTGAACAAATAAAATTCTGATTTATTCATTTTCCCAAATAAACGAAAACATGTCGTAAAACGAAATATTTACTGGGGATAAAAGTCAAGACTACTGATTGTTTAAAAGCATCATTAATTGACTATGTAATGTTAATTTACGTAGCATATGTTCACAACTAAATAATTTTAAAAGTCGAAACTAAAATAACCTGTCTTTATATCACTGTTGCGTTATAAGGAATGTATTTTTTTCTACAGAGAACTCCATAGATATTTTTTATCAGTTGTCGTTTTTAAAAGACAGCCTCAACTAGTTTTGTTTAGTTCTTTCCAATTAGTTCTAGGCGAAATGTAACCGGTTAGTTTAAGACGTTATACAGACGTAAAATGGATTCATACAATGAATCCTTCTGTACTTAGAAACTTAACCATATGAATAAATACAAATTAATAAAACATCTACCAGTTACCCATAGCAGGAATTTCTTGATCTCTTTGTCCTGTAGTTGTACGTACAAATCTTTCGTTACTGAAGCATAGTAAAGTAATCCCATAGACTTAGCCCCATTCGATAACCTGTTAATCATTTATTGGGATGATGTTGTTAGGTGTGATATTCACACTGAGGCAAATTGGCCAAACACAATCTTTATAAGAAGCACCTTAAAATTACTAGCTAATTACTCTGTGACTGCCGACTTTGCTACTTGCGAAATGTAATATACGCATAGGTATTGTAGAGGTGTTGAAGTTACATTTCTTGAATGCCAATTACACCTGGTTGAGCTGGTGTCACTAACATAACCACTCCTACGTAAGCGACAGTCGGGAAGAACAGAAATTGTTCCTATTGTTTCTGTCAGCAATCTGATATAGTGATATCAATATGGGATTTATGAATGTCTAGGCTGGTGAGGAAAGTTTTGTGACGCCATACTGAAACAGAGATATTCCCCTCTGTATTGTTAACCACCTGCATGACAAATTGTTTGGTGTTACAAAATCACCACGAATATTTATTACTTTATATTTAAAATGAAAACTAAATTTTTTAAATTCATAATATATCAAATATTTCTTTCCTGTACCAACACCGAATTTACTAACAGTAATACCTAGGCCGACGGAAGCGGGTTAGTTAAATTGATAAAATATCATAATAGAAGAGAAATAATTTGTTATCTTCTGGAATGAGAAATAATTTTTATTAAAAATAATATGATATGTGAAATGTTTCCGATGGACAGACTCATTTGTTAACCGCTGCAGAGTCTGTTGACAAATCTGAATGAAGTGTTTAGTGGTACAGTGAGGAGTATTTTGAAAAAAAATGTGCTGTACACAGTGATGTGCAACAAAAAATAATCATTAAAATGAACTTTCTATGAATATAACACGAATGATTCAAACAAATGCCGATAAACTGGGACACAGACAGGTGGCTGGGACTGGAACATTATGTCACCAAATTTTGTGTTGACCGTTTTAAACTTAATTACAACGTTCAAAATTATATTGGATTATAATAATTATTCTGTATGCTGAAAGGACAGAAATTTGACAATTTAGTCTCCACTTCATCTGAATTCGTCCTATGAATTGGAACGTGAATGATCAGAAACCGACTTCAAATGTTAAAAATACTAAAATCAAGGTAATGGAGCCCCTAACTTTTAAGGATTACCAATTAGATATTAGCTACAGGTGAAGTCTTTATTCAAGGAGGAAAAACAACTTGCTGAGTATCATGCAGTTCAGAAACTAATTGGCATGTGGTGAAGATGCATCAACTCAACATAGCACTATACAGATAATATTAAATTCTAATTTGATTAGTGAATAGTTTTATTGTCACTGGGTTCGGTCCCCACGTTTATCAATTAATCTGCGATGTATGCACGAAAGTGTATGAGGAGCTTTTACTGAAATAAAATGAAATTATTATTACACCATAGAAGTCTAAATTCTCACAAGATGTCTGCATGTACCATCAAGTATTTCAACAGCAAGAGATATTAAGATAACAAATAATTAATACAGTGACATAAATTTAAAATGTATACTTACTGTTACTAGTTGACACCGGGAAGATAACGTCTGTGACATAAAAACTGAGTAGGTCTATGAATTAAAGTAAAACTGTGATTTCGAACTGTAAACAGCAAGATGTTTTCTTAGTAGTTCTTATTTACAAAACAAGAGGAACAATCTAATTAAACACTGAAGCTAGAATAAATTACTACTGTTAAATATCTGATATATGTTATTTCTTTGTATAAAATTCTTTACTATATATCCTTTTCAGCTACCATACGTGAGTCATACTGCATGGTGTATGAATTCACTCCTACCTCACTGGATACTGACATAGTTTTGTTCACTTTTTATTTGCTCTTTATTCTCCATTACCCATTACTAAACTAACAGACACACTTATCATGTGAAGGCAGATGATGCAATCAGCTGCCTTCGGTAAACTAGGTGTAGCAGGAATTTAAGCCATGACCCATCGACTGAAAACCCAGGACGTAAGCCAATTATGTATATCTACACTAATAACTGTATGAAGTACGGGAACCTTATGTCAAATAACTATGTGACAAAGTTTTTGAAAAACTGAAGAGTTCTAGACATTTCTTGTCAAGTACTCAGGAGTTCAATTGACAGTCTCCACTTGAATAACAGTTGTCCTGATGATTATGTGTCAACTTGTGTGTTTGCGATTGTCTCTAATCTTATTGGAAAACCAAGGCAGTCAAGAATAAAATCACATTTATTTCCTGGTAAGGAATAAAGCAGGGTAATGAACAAACTAAATCCTAGAGAATTCTTTATACACCTTTTAACAATGTGCTCTTGTTCCCCTCTGAAGATGTACGGGAAACACCGGTTAATGTTAGTGAATATTCAAAGAACGTCAATGAAGCTTCCTTCTGTTCTGCACACTTTATTTCAAAAATCTATTTCAGATAATTCACAATAAGCTAATGAATACGAATAGGAATTAAAAGATTCCTACTAAGTTAAGGACTGCAAATATCCGACATTGAGAATCTTTGTGAATTGTTATTCAAAGTGTGAAGAATCATGTAAAATAGGTGTACCTAATGCATCTAAAAAATGCCTGAAAAGTTTTTATGTTTTCGTGGCACAGTAATTAGGCACTACTCTGGTTTTGATAAATAAATACAGAAATATTACTTCAGGCAAATGTGCGTTTTATCTCGCTTATTACTGTGAAACATAAAAAATCATCAAAATTGTGATGTTCCGTTTTACAACAGCTCCTAAAAATTGTAAGTTCATTTATTTATTCATTTAGTCCAAATGTCACATGCAGTTTCATATATAAACACGAAAAAAATTAATTTGCCCATATACTTATTTCGCAATAACATAGTCACCATCAAATTCGAGGGCCCGAGACATTAATAACAAAATTACTTCCATATTAAATAAAAATAGGAAAATACACAAAATCGCATATAGAATATATATATATATATATAAATATATATATAACATAATATAATAAAAAACCCAAATTGCACTTAAATAGAATAAAACGTCCATCGAATTAAAATCAATAATTCCGCGAAGGTTAATCAAAAATTCCATCGATTGCGGTCTCAGCTTTGTTACCAACACGGTGTTTCAAGTGACTTGAGGGTAAACAGTCGACCGAGATTTGCAATGATCTCATAGTTTCCAAAATACAATTGATGGGCATTCTACAAGTTTTGATATATTTTGTAAAATTTCTGACGCAAAAACCCATATATTGACATCAAATTTCATTCCAGCACCTGACTTACTGGACACACTAGGCGGGTAAGTCAAATATGCTATTGAAGTTTCCACCTCATGACTAATGCGCTAGACAAAAGATTCTCTATCTACTATATGCAACACATCGATAGAAAACCTGGATCACTTTCAACACAATTGGTCAGAATGCACCACTGGATACTTTGTGATTCGCTGGCTAGTTTCATTCATTGTACTCCATCACAATGTGAGCATGAATTTTCCGCAATTTATCCGTAAGCAGACTTGGATGATGACACCTGCATGACGTACAAGCGCAAATCGGACTTGATAACCAGCTCAGTAATGCATGTTAGCGAAGATTTATTTCAATCAATTTAATTGCGCACATATCTTATTCAACCGACTATGTAGAGTTAGAGGTGAGGAGGAGTCAGTGAGGGCAACAACATCCAGGTTAAGTGATTCCAGAGACGATGATATTGACGAATTCAAGGCTCTTGGAATAAGACATATTGACAGGTTATTCTAATGCATTGGAATACGTGTGTCTTAATTCTACTTCACTGACAATCTCCTGCGTTTGAATGACTTATCCACATGCATTGCGCCGTCAGCCGAATTCAGTGACGAAACACAGGATTGAATTCGAATTATTAGTTAGAGTAGAAGAGTGTCAGTTGACAATAGAGGAGTGATTGTTTTCAGGCGGATGGATGATGAAATATTTAGAGTTCTCGGTCGAGTTAACAGTCATCGCCCTGATTGATATCGTGAAATCGCTATACAGAATATCATTAAGATTTGGTTCATCTACCAGGATTGAGTGACAGGTCTTCGTCGTGAACAGTCAACATATCAAACACTCTCGACACAGCTTCATATTTTTTGTTTGAAGTCATCACTGTGGTTAACAATGGCTTTATGAATATATGCGTGTTTATTTCACACGCTTCTAGGAGAGCAGTTGCAGTGATTAAACAGACCAATGAGTTATTGATTCCTTATCAACCAATTCCACATATTTTCTGCAACACAGACTGTGTAAGTTGATAAACTTTTTCACTATTATTATTGTTAATATTATCATCATCATCATCATCATGATCACCATCACCGTCATCGTTTTCGTCGTCGTCGTAATCGATATCATCATCATGCTTGTAAGCTAATTGCAGATGCATGAATTTCCCTTGATACAAAAGTGATTTAAATTTGAATTGTGAAGAAGTAGAATGGTTCATATGCGACAGTTGAATGAGATTGCTATTGTTTTTCGTGTCGACTGATACAATGGATGGATAAATTGGCATCCACGTGAGACAGTATATTTGGAAATGTTGTATGCTAAAGAACCTAGTGTCATCAATTGGTAGGATTAACTGAACATAATGCCTGTTGCCAAGCTTATGGAATTTTTATGTCTGTTATTCATACTGTTGACATAACCACTACTGCTGCCCTCCTCTTCATGCTACTTATTCATTGATACAATAACTCACTGACTAATACAACCAATACATTCACGTGTGTTGTAACTTCTGATTGAGTTTTCAGTCATTTGTGTGCATGATGCACATGTCTCACGATTCGAATTTCTGCTGGTGTGGAAGTCCATGAATATCGCTACGTGCGCCTTTCGCTAAAGGCCCCAATGCTTAAATCTGCAAGGTTTTGGCTTGTATAAATTCATATAGTATTAATATTGACAGGCTTCCGAATCTCATTTGCCGAAGCACTTCAATAACATTGGAATTGTCACACTACAAAATCATTGAAATCATTTCCCTAAGGATATTTATTGGTTTCTGATAAGTTCAACGTTGTGTTAAGCAGATGTTGCTGTTATATCAATTCACTGTATATTGTTTTGTAGTCGGAGATTTGATAAAGCCACCCCAACCCAAGTGAGTTGTGCATTTCGAAATCTAGTTTTAACTGGTATAAGAAATTCATGAAATTACTCATTCGATGAAACCCCATTTAGTCACTCAACAGCCTGTGGCATTAGGTCAGTCGAAATGTGGAGACAAAATGCCTCTGCTGTTTGGATGAAATCTTGAGAGGCCTGCTATTTTAGAACAGCATTATAAGGTAAATTTCAACAAGGCTCAGCAGTGCTCCCGAAAGAGTCACTCCGCATAAGTTGACGAGGTGTTTCCAGTTAGTATATATGGGTGTAAAATTGGGACACTACGATGGTAGTGTGTAGTTCCATGTAATCATATCAGTAAGTATAATTGTGGACAGCAAATTGTGTTCGAAACATCATCTCGTAGATAATACTGTGTCACTGTGGATAATGTTCCAGGAACAGAACAAAACGGAACAACACACTGCCAACGTAGTCGGAGTTTTACACATACATTAATTTGGCTTGTGGTCTTCCTGCCCAAGGACTGAGCGATGAATCCACAAATCATCAGATTTTCAATATTCGGCAAATCAGAAACGAATTTACCCCTGCGAAAACGAGCTCCAAACCCACTAGACTAACTCACATCGGTAATATTCTGACTAGGAAACCTGTACATATGTGTTTAGACTCAAGGAGTAGTGAGAAGGTTGTGCACCGTATGGAATGAAATCGAGCGGTTCAAACACAAATTAACTGAGACACTCACCGAGGAGGACTTTGATCTAATACTACAATCTCTTGATAATAACAAGTCGGCGTCATTCAAGGAATCAGTTAATACTCGGATGAAGAAATCCACTGAACCAATGCGAGAGACATCTCTGCCTGAAAACAGTGTAACACGGAATAAGACGTGGTCGACAGCCGACAATTCAAAGTGTATTATCAATCTCACAACAAGGGTCTTACATCTCACACAAATAGGTGTGTTAGAAGAAGAACTAGATTTCAATGAAGCTGTTGACTAGCTGAAACCTGAGGATTTTATTGCAAAAGTAATAACAGCACCAAGTTCAATGGAGGAGTTTTCAACCACGAGTTGCAGAGTTGACGTGAAAACTGGAGAGTAGACGCTATACAGAACACCAATAAATGCTGAATCAAAAGGCCTATAGGGAACCACCTAAATTAGACTCATGAGTATGACAGGCCGAATCGTTGGAGTTTTCGCTTCCATTCCACGATTTCTCTTAAACAATCACAACCTAACTTGGTTCTCACCTATATCGATGCCAACTGGTATATTGAACCAACACACCTTCCACCCGCCCTCTCCATTTCCTTCACTACGCTCAATTTCACATGTGTCACATTCGTGATACCACGAGATTGCAAGGTCGTCCGCACAGTTACATCAGGCTGTGTGTTGTGAGCTGGCGAAATATGCTGTGAATGACAGCTTTGGGTTTGTTCGGTGAATAAAGACCCTAAATGCTAAGGACAAACACATGGCGTCTTTCATGTCACTTGCTTGCTTGTTGAAATATATTCTCCTTGTTAAATCGAGTATTTCATCGTAGCAGAAACCTCTTTACAATGCTTTCAATCTGGAATCTAGTCCAACTGACTTCACTAGTGGGCTGTCAATGTTCAATCCGAATTAAATGATGGAATGGGCAGACAGTTTGATGTAGTGTTTGTGCATCATATATTCAGACCAATATTTTCTGTGAATTGTCTCCACATTGGATGGTTAAATCACTCACTTCACGCCTCCTCAAAGAAAACAAAAGGCGCATCCATCATGAAATGGATGTTATCCGAAGACATAAGTGAATATTTTGGAATGTGGAACGATTACAGTGAGGAAAATGCATTCGTTCCTTCATCTACAACACAATGGAAACATGTGCACGCAGATGTTTTGTCAACACGACACTGAAGCGATAGACAGCAAATTATGCTCACCACGTCCGTGCCCATCCTCCAGTATTCGTCCAATATTTACGACGAACAGATATCAATTCTTGGTTCGATCCTGTGAACAAACCGATTTCATTGCTGCTGTGGACCAGCTTGTTTATTGCATACGGTGCAGCTTATCTGTCTGCAGACTCCACAGTGTTCGCAAAATCACCCTGAGGGAAGATGAGACTGAAACCAAAAATGGTTCAACACTACCACACTGATTAGTCAGGTGGCATTATGTAAACGCTAATCTAGCCTTCAGTTTGATATGCCACATGTCAGAATCATTGTCGTGTGCAATACATCCACGTCAACTTCACATTTACGGAGATGTTGCAGCGAAGTCGATTAATCCACAACTCTCTGTTCATAAATCACACATTCAGTTAACATTTTCTCCTGGTCATTCTTTGCCTAAGTATTCCCCTCCTAACCACTCGTTCAGCTCACTCCATTCCACAGTTTACATCCAAATTAACGAAGACTTCATGAACTTCACTTGTTCTGATTTTCTCACCACAAATGAAAATGTCTTACATTGTGTGCCTTCGGACAGACCAGCACGTAAGTACAACTAATAGACTATTATTCTCTCTACACACATACTCGTTACACTCGAGTATTCACTTCTCTTTCATTGATGTGTCTCTCCTGCCGCAGATGAAGATGCATTGTATGCAATCAGAAGTATTGTGAGTGCATGCACTTATGTCCATGCATGGATATGCGGAAGAACACTTAATTAGCAACTCACACTCGACATAGTCATAGTTTATTATTTCACTGAAATCGTTAATTCTCATATGTACCCATTTAAATAGCGTTACAACATAGGTGGAGCCTCATGTTAACTGGTGACGATTACTTGGGAGCGAAGACTTGATTCTCTAATGATTGTCAGTTGTGATGGGAGAGTGCACCTGACGAGATTTTACTTGATATTGGTAAACAGTTACCAGAGCTACAACTCCATCATATCATTCTGTTGAATTCAAGGAGATCTGATAGTAGCGTCATTACTAAAAACCTTATTTTAATGTACCCTATCTCTAAAGCCAAACCTGCAGGTCAGTTCTAGTATTGACGCTTTATGTGTAGTATCATTGAAATAAATTAAAGATGCAAGTCAACTGGTATCAGTCAAGAGGCTTCATTGGATTTTGAAATGTTCACGTTCTCAGTTCACTTACTTTGTTTCAATGTCACAAATCCTATCACTTGTGTTTGCATTCAAATTAGTTTATACTATGCCTACACCGTTTGTTTTACTATAGGAACACCAACCCCCACAACGGGTGAGAATTTAAACAATCATTTAACATACGCCTTCGCGGTATAACAGCTTGCGTAACATTTTTTAACAAAAATAATCGGTACTGGTGGAATTTTCGTACTTATTCGTATCCTCAGACGAGGCAGCAGTACTGACACTGCTCAACAACCAACCAATACACGCTGTTAATCCTGCGACTCCGGATTCTAACCAGGAGTTGTGAACAGGTCTACAGGTGTGAGGAATATTGTCAGGTGTTTGACTACTGCGAGCTGAGAATACGGCCGGTTGTAGGGGATCCGAGAGAGACCTTCCGCAATATTCACGATCTAATCTCAAGTAGAGAAAGAAAGATAATTCGAGCAGGACTTTCATACTGATTGGACTGAAAGGAGCCTACAATATCTGGAGAAATTGATTTGTAGTGACAGAGGCTCCAGTGCTGTTGGGAAATGACTCATTGAGGGTTTTTAATTTCGACTGGTAATCGTAAACCTTCAGTATTCCAAACGTGACGAAACATATCTGGAAGTTAGTGAACTTCCCACATATCTGATATTCGATAATGGCGTTTTGTCGAGTTCGACGAGAACTGATAACAGTGTTCTTACTGAAAAAATCAATTTAATTTATCCTTTGGAAATTCGACTCAGTCAGCTGGTTCACACTGAATTTGTTTCATTGTAACTCCAATGAAGTAATTTTTAACTTAGAGAATGACTAACGTTAGTTCACAGGCTTCACTGAGTGATCGACGTGTTTATTTAAAGTAAACTAGCCAGTGTATTATATTTATTTCACAAACTGGGAAGAAATAATGAAATCTGTTTTAACCATAACACTAATAATACTGTTTATCTGGCGGTTAATTTACATATCTCTTCCAAATTTCGAAATATTTTAGCTCCGAAGACTGCTGAGGGGGGTAAGAATTTACAATTTGAATTTCATAGTGATGCGGTAATGTTAGCTACTTCTCTGAATATCCAACCACAAATATTTTTTAATTGCTTATTTCTTTGCCAAAAGAAAGGGTAAACTAACCAGCTGACTGACATACCGTCATCTAGCAAAACTGTGTCGATGAGATTGATGCTATGCCACAAGCAGGCTGTAAAGCTGAATTGTGGATTTGATAAGTTGCGACAATTTCTGATCCGAGGTGACTGTAAAGCTGAATTATGTAGGAATTTCAGTGACATATTAATTGATAGACTGCAGGGATTGTTTTCGAAAAATAACCCTAATATCACTATAAGGCACCACGTTAATTCATGTATCTCTTCTTAATTTGCAAAATATTTCAGCTCAAAATCCTACTGGCAAGAGTAAGAATTTATCCTTTAAACCCCAAGATGTAGTGTTATTAGATATTTCTGTAAATCCATAACGAATGATATTCTGTAATTGTGCATTTCTGTCTCAAGGAAAGGACGCGTCAACCACCTGTTGTGTGAGAGCGATTTTCATTTTATTTGCACAAATACTTGGATGAGACACCAGCAGTTAAAAATGGCACAATATAAGGCTGTGTAGGACTCATATAGTGTACTTGGGCCGTCTGCAAGATGCAGTCTGTAGATATGTACGCATATATTTACACACGTGCAAGTGTATACCGTCCTTTCAGCATTCACACTACCCTGTTACATATTGCTTTATCGGAAGTTCTGAGTGTTGCTTTTTAAATGGAACTGATAATTTGTATTGTTTGTTCAGCTTCTGAAGCGAACACTCTTGTGATATTTAGAATTCGCGCGACCGACAGTGGCACTAGGATAAATCCTCCAAGTTCATTGACCAAAATAAATGCATCACCTACGTTCTGTACAAGGACGAACGAAAATTTCAAAATGGTTGTCGTTAATTAGCACATGACCTCCAGTAATGATGATTTGTTAGATGTTCACGCACACTGTCTTCTGTAAAAGCGTAGCATACAGACGAATCCACGAGAAACATCCTGTTATATAGAAATATTGTGATATCACACATTACTTGCCAATTCATTTTCTTCCTACCTTGGATTCTGATTGACGAACAGGATGATATATACTACAAGGATACTGTTCAGCACTTATCAAACAGGTATGAATTGATAGTGCACACTTTAGCGACTGCATCCGTCTTATCTGTGTTGAACATAAAATGCATACCGGATACAATATGTCATGTCATACAAGAGTATTGAGGGCTTATATTTACATTTCTGTCAAGGTAAATCAGGGATTGCATCACTCGCAGTCTCAGCTTTGTTACCAACACGGTGTTTCAAGTGACTTGAGGGTAAACAGTCGACCGAGATTTGCAATGATCTCATAGTTTCCAAAATACAATTGATGGGCATTCTACAAGTTTTGATATATTTTGTAAAATTTCTGACGCAAAAACCCATATATTGACATCAAATTTCATTCCAGCACCTGACTTACTGGACACACTAGGCGGGTAAGTCAAATATGCTATTGAAGTTTCCACCTCATGACTAATGCGCTAGACAAAAGATTCTCTATCTACTATATGCAACACATCGATAGAAAACCTGGATCACTTTCAACACAATTGGTCAGAATGCACCACTGGATACTTTGTGATTCGCTGGCTAGTTTCATTCATTGTACTCCATCACAATGTGAGCATGAATTTTCCGCAATTTATCCGTAAGCAGACTTGGATGATGACACCTGCATGACGTACAAGCGCAAATCGGACTTGATAACCAGCTCAGTAATGCATGTTAGCGAAGATTTATTTCAATCAATTTAATTGCGCACATATCTTATTCAACCGACTATGTAGAGTTAGAGGTGAGGAGGAGTCAGTGAGGGCAACAACATCCAGGTTAAGTGATTCCAGAGACGATGATATTGACGAATTCAAGGCTCTTGGAATAAGACATATTGACAGGTTATTCTAATGCATTGGAATACGTGTGTCTTAATTCTACTTCACTGACAATCTCCTGCGTTTGAATGACTTATCCACATGCATTGCGCCGTCAGCCGAATTCAGTGACGAAACACAGGATTGAATTCGAATTATTAGTTAGAGTAGAAGAGTGTCAGTTGACAATAGAGGAGTGATTGTTTTCAGGCGGATGGATGATGAAATATTTAGAGTTCTCGGTCGAGTTAACAGTCATCGCCCTGATTGATATCGTGAAATCGCTATACAGAATATCATTAAGATTTGGTTCATCTACCAGGATTGAGTGACAGGTCTTCGTCGTGAACAGTCAACATATCAAACACTCTCGACACAGCTTCATATTTTTTGTTTGAAGTCATCACTGTGGTTAACAATGGCTTTATGAATATATGCGTGTTTATTTCACACGCTTCTAGGAGAGCAGTTGCAGTGATTAAACAGACCAATGAGTTATTGATTCCTTATCAACCAATTCCACATATTTTCTGCAACACAGACTGTGTAAGTTGATAAACTTTTTCACTATTATTATTGTTAATATTATCATCATCATCATCATCATGATCACCATCACCGTCATCGTTTTCGTCGTCGTCGTAATCGATATCATCATCATGCTTGTAAGCTAATTGCAGATGCATGAATTTCCCTTGATACAAAAGTGATTTAAATTTGAATTGTGAAGAAGTAGAATGGTTCATATGCGACAGTTGAATGAGATTGCTATTGTTTTTCGTGTCGACTGATACAATGGATGGATAAATTGGCATCCACGTGAGACAGTATATTTGGAAATGTTGTATGCTAAAGAACCTAGTGTCATCAATTGGTAGGATTAACTGAACATAATGCCTGTTGCCAAGCTTATGGAATTTTTATGTCTGTTATTCATACTGTTGACATAACCACTACTGCTGCCCTCCTCTTCATGCTACTTATTCATTGATACAATAACTCACTGACTAATACAACCAATACATTCACGTGTGTTGTAACTTCTGATTGAGTTTTCAGTCATTTGTGTGCATGATGCACATGTCTCACGATTCGAATTTCTGCTGGTGTGGAAGTCCATGAATATCGCTACGTGCGCCTTTCGCTAAAGGCCCCAATGCTTAAATCTGCAAGGTTTTGGCTTGTATAAATTCATATAGTATTAATATTGACAGGCTTCCGAATCTCATTTGCCGAAGCACTTCAATAACATTGGAATTGTCACACTACAAAATCATTGAAATCATTTCCCTAAGGATATTTATTGGTTTCTGATAAGTTCAACGTTGTGTTAAGCAGATGTTGCTGTTATATCAATTCACTGTATATTGTTTTGTAGTCGGAGATTTGATAAAGCCACCCCAACCCAAGTGAGTTGTGCATTTCGAAATCTAGTTTTAACTGGTATAAGAAATTCATGAAATTACTCATTCGATGAAACCCCATTTAGTCACTCAACAGCCTGTGGCATTAGGTCAGTCGAAATGTGGAGACAAAATGCCTCTGCTGTTTGGATGAAATCTTGAGAGGCCTGCTATTTTAGAACAGCATTATAAGGTAAATTTCAACAAGGCTCAGCAGTGCTCCCGAAAGAGTCACTCCGCATAAGTTGACGAGGTGTTTCCAGTTAGTATATATGGGTGTAAAATTGGGACACTACGATGGTAGTGTGTAGTTCCATGTAATCATATCAGTAAGTATAATTGTGGACAGCAAATTGTGTTCGAAACATCATCTCGTAGATAATACTGTGTCACTGTGGATAATGTTCCAGGAACAGAACAAAACGGAACAACACACTGCCAACGTAGTCGGAGTTTTACACATACATTAATTTGGCTTGTGGTCTTCCTGCCCAAGGACTGAGCGATGAATCCACAAATCATCAGATTTTCAATATTCGGCAAATCAGAAACGAATTTACCCCTGCGAAAACGAGCTCCAAACCCACTAGACTAACTCACATCGGTAATATTCTGACTAGGAAACCTGTACATATGTGTTTAGACTCAAGGAGTAGTGAGAAGGTTGTGCACCGTATGGAATGAAATCGAGCGGTTCAAACACAAATTAACTGAGACACTCACCGAGGAGGACTTTGATCTAATACTACAATCTCTTGATAATAACAAGTCGGCGTCATTCAAGGAATCAGTTAATACTCGGATGAAGAAATCCACTGAACCAATGCGAGAGACATCTCTGCCTGAAAACAGTGTAACACGGAATAAGACGTGGTCGACAGCCGACAATTCAAAGTGTATTATCAATCTCACAACAAGGGTCTTACATCTCACACAAATAGGTGTGTTAGAAGAAGAACTAGATTTCAATGAAGCTGTTGACTAGCTGAAACCTGAGGATTTTATTGCAAAAGTAATAACAGCACCAAGTTCAATGGAGGAGTTTTCAACCACGAGTTGCAGAGTTGACGTGAAAACTGGAGAGTAGACGCTATACAGAACACCAATAAATGCTGAATCAAAAGGCCTATAGGGAACCACCTAAATTAGACTCATGAGTATGACAGGCCGAATCGTTGGAGTTTTCGCTTCCATTCCACGATTTCTCTTAAACAATCACAACCTAACTTGGTTCTCACCTATATCGATGCCAACTGGTATATTGAACCAACACACCTTCCACCCGCCCTCTCCATTTCCTTCACTACGCTCAATTTCACATGTGTCACATTCGTGATACCACGAGATTGCAAGGTCGTCCGCACAGTTACATCAGGCTGTGTGTTGTGAGCTGGCGAAATATGCTGTGAATGACAGCTTTGGGTTTGTTCGGTGAATAAAGACCCTAAATGCTAAGGACAAACACATGGCGTCTTTCATGTCACTTGCTTGCTTGTTGAAATATATTCTCCTTGTTAAATCGAGTATTTCATCGTAGCAGAAACCTCTTTACAATGCTTTCAATCTGGAATCTAGTCCAACTGACTTCACTAGTGGGCTGTCAATGTTCAATCCGAATTAAATGATGGAATGGGCAGACAGCTTGATGTAGTGTTTGTGCATCATATATTCAGACCAATATTTTCTGTGAATTGTCTCCACATTGGATGGTTAAATCACTCACTTCACGCCTCCTCAAAGAAAACAAAAGGCGCATCCATCATGAAATGGATGTTATCCGAAGACATAAGTGAATATTTTGGAATGTGGAACGATTACAGTGAGGAAAATGCATTCGTTCCTTCATCTACAACACAATGGAAACATGTGCACGCAGATGTTTTGTCAACACGACACTGAAGCGATAGACAGCAAATTATGCTCACCACGTCCGTGCCCATCCTCCAGTATTCGTCCAATATTTACGACGAACAGATATCAATTCTTGGTTCGATCCTGTGAACAAACCGATTTCATTGCTGCTGTGGACCAGCTTGTTTATTGCATACGGTGCAGCTTATCTGTCTGCAGACTCCACAGTGTTCGCAAAATCACCCTGAGGGAAGATGAGACTGAAACCAAAAATGGTTCAACACTACCACACTGATTAGTCAGGTGGCATTATGTAAACGCTAATCTAGCCTTCAGTTTGATATGCCACATGTCAGAATCATTGTCGTGTGCAATACATCCACGTCAACTTCACATTTACGGAGATGTTGCAGCGAAGTCGATTAATCCACAACTCTCTGTTCATAAATCACACATTCAGTTAACATTTTCTCCTGGTCATTCTTTGCCTAAGTATTCCCCTCCTAACCACTCGTTCAGCTCACTCCATTCCACAGTTTACATCCAAATTAACGAAGACTTCATGAACTTCACTTGTTCTGATTTTCTCACCACAAATGAAAATGTCTTACATTGTGTGCCTTCGGACAGACCAGCACGTAAGTACAACTAATAGACTATTATTCTCTCTACACACATACTCGTTACACTCGAGTATTCACTTCTCTTTCATTGATGTGTCTCTCCTGCCGCAGATGAAGATGCATTGTATGCAATCAGAAGTATTGTGAGTGCATGCACTTATGTCCATGCATGGATATGCGGAAGAACACTTAATTAGCAACTCACACTCGACATAGTCATAGTTTATTATTTCACTGAAATCGTTAATTCTCATATGTACCCATTTAAATAGCGTTACAACATAGGTGGAGCCTCATGTTAACTGGTGACGATTACTTGGGAGCGAAGACTTGATTCTCTAATGATTGTCAGTTGTGATGGGAGAGTGCACCTGACGAGATTTTACTTGATATTGGTAAACAGTTACCAGAGCTACAACTCCATCATATCATTCTGTTGAATTCAAGGAGATCTGATAGTAGCGTCATTACTAAAAACCTAATTTTAATGTACCCTATCTCTAAAGCCAAACCTGCAGGTCAGTTCTAGTATTGACGCTTTATGTGTAGTATCATTGAAATAAATTATGGATGGTTAGCAACCGTTTTTATTCAAGAGGCTTCATTTGTTTGTTGACATGTTTATTTTCTGATGTTGTTTGCCGAACTTTCGACTACATCTACTTTGTGTCCATAACACAAATTCAATGACTTGTTTTTGCATTCATATTAATCCATACTGTCCTTACAACATTTGTGTTATTGTAGCATCATCACCTACTACTACGTGTAAGGGTTTGTTCTTTTATGTTTGCTATCTCTTCATGGTATAGCTGTTTTTATATTTTTCATTTAATACTATTATCTATCTTCATTGGATACGGATGTTGCTGTGGGTTTGAGTAGAACCTCGCGCTTGATTTTCTCTTATTCACTGCGTTTCTCTTCAGTTTCTCTATGTTTACTGATAGACTCAACATCTCCTAGCACGAAATCCTTCATATCAACCATTTGTCTTTTTCCCATCTGGTTGTACTCTAGGTCCGTGTGTGCGCTGTCTACCGATGTTCTACCAGTGTTTTTCTGGTCCATCTTGATTTTGCTGTGCATTGTCGTTTGTTGATGGGTTCTTGGTTGTATCGTTGCCAAACATTATTGTTGCTAGTCATTGATGATTGCCCGACTAATCATTGGTGTAGTGCCAGCGAAGCTGCTGGTGATAAAATTCTACAAATGGCTGTTGGAAATGGTTTCCTAGACTTTCTGCCCAAATTTCTTTTCCATGTAGATGATCTGATTTAACACAGACGTTGAAAATCAAAGTTTTGTTCATTATGCTGAGTGCAGTGCATTTCGAAACTGATTTTAGAGTGATGAAAGTCGTTCTTGCCTTCCTTGATCCGTACCGTCTTTACTAGAAACGATGCCATCAATATGAGCGAGAAAAGTGGCCTCTTTCAGATTTATTTCTTCAAGAGGGATTGGTGCTTGCTGTTGTTAGATGCCGGATATCTCCATCATCCCCGACTTCTCTAGGCTCTCATGAGGTCCTTTCTTTCTTGCTTCTCCTGCCAACTTGTTCGTTTTCGCTTATAAACCTTCGAAGGTGTGTGACATAAGACATAAATCATCTACGAAATACAGATGTTCATGAGTCTTCGTATCGGTCCAACTTATTCATGTCTTCTCGCTCCCTACAGTCTCCTCCACACACCAGCCAACCACATTTAGGGATAGTATAGCTCATCTTGACTTATTCCCGTCTTCTTTTCAAAATCTTAGTCGAGTTCACCCTAGCGGATCACCTGACATGTGGTATCGCCATGCAGCTATCGAACCAGGTTGATAAGGATTCGGGCACGCCATAGTGTTGGATTAGTTTTCGAACTACTTCCCCGCTTATCCTGTTGGAGGCCTTTTCTAAGCCAGTGAATTTGAGGTATGGGATTGATTGCAATTCTGTGCTCTGCTCGATGACTATTCGTAGATTTGCAGTTTGATCAGCAGGTGATTTGCTTTTTCTGAATCTATCTTGTTTCGATGGCTGGAGTGCTGCAAGTAGTGCATCTTTTATTCTCTCCAATATAACGTGACTCGGGTTTTTACATGGCGTGAGCAAGAACATGATTCCACACCAGTTCTTTCAGAGGCCTAAGTTGTTCTTCATTGGCAGCTTGATAAGGTATCCATCCTTTCTTACAATCGACAGGAACCTTTTCTTCCTTCCTTTTTTGTAAACCTTTTGCAATAATGTCGTTAGCTGCAGTCACTGGTTCCGTTTTAGGGCTACAAAACGAAATCCATCAAGTTCTGCTGCCTTCCAAGCTAACGTTCAGTAGCTTTATTGCATTCGGGATTTCCGCTTTTGTTTAACAATCAATGTTCGCAGGCACTTCTGTAGCTATCTGTGGTACTTCTAGATGAGTTGAAGATGGCCGGTTCAAGAGTCTTTTGATGTAATCAGCCCACTGTTTACCTTGCTTCTCCTCTTTGGGAATAAGGTTCCCTTGTCCGTCTTTTATTGGTTACATCTAGGTTGTTCACTTTTCGGATAGAGACCTGGTTATCCGGTATAACGTTCTGAGATCTCTTTCACCTGCAGACTGCTATTCCTTATTCAGTTGCCGACCATAATAATAATAATAGCTTTAGTCCAAACGGTATTTGTGGTACAGGTATGGAATTTTCAGCGTGCATTACAGTATATTGCATCTAATTACCTCATAAATTATATAAGATTTTTAAAATCAAAAAATAAATAAATAAAAACCAACGCCAAAAAAGATAAAAAAATAAAAATAAAAAAATAAATAAAAAAAAAACAGCGTAGAGTTTACATTTCAAACAATGCACCACAGGATATGAAATATAAAGTTGATGTGTGATAGAAGATGAGAACAACAGTGTAATAGTAACGAGGAAAGGAAAAAAAACTAATGGGACTATTTGTTAGAGTGCCGCAGTAAGTTTATCGTGTCATACCTAACGGATTTCTCATCACATAACAGCTGTGCCAGATATGGTATTGTGGAGTTTTTGTATTTGGTAGTCCTAGCATATAGCCTCCTATAGCTGCTTCTAGTTCTACCAGATGAAATGCAAGGAGATAGATGCGTATAGAGAGGATGCTCGGGGTCCGACAATATTGTATTCGCTAGTTTCTTACATGACATAATATGTCTATCTACAATAGTGTTCACCAGTTGGTTTAACGATATCCCACTTGCCCTACTAACAGCTTTTAGTGCCCTTCTCAGCGAAGCAAAGTCTTTCTTAAGTAGTCCAGGAAAGACTAATGGGGAGCAGTAAAGGAGGATGGGTAGAATACAAGAATTTACAAACTGAGAAAGTAAAGACTGGTTTATGCCAGACTGCCTAAATTTCCTAATGTAGAACGTTAAGCGAAACATCTTTCTAGTAACTAGCAAGATGTGGGAAGACCAGGAAAGATCGGTGGAAAAACTCAGCCCAAGGTACTTGACATTAGATGTATTTTCAACCTCTGTGCCGTCAATGAGAGTGGGGCCATGTGAGCTAACTAGTTGCTGTAGGTCACATTTACGTCTGAAAGTGAAATTGACTACCTGACATTTAGACGGATTAAGCTTAAGTCCGTTTGAAGAGGACCACTGACTAATTTCCGACAGAAAGCTATTTAATTTGGAACAATCTGACTGAGAGTTGACAGGCATAGAAACCGAGAGGTCATCGGCATACTTAACAAAAGTGGCTACATCAGAATGAGGCAAGTCATGTAAGAAAAACGAAACAGAAAGGGAGAAAGAACAGCACCTTGAGGAACACCAGCTAAAGTAAGTGAGGTAGTGGAGGATTTTCCATTGTAGACGGTGTACTGCTTCCTTTCAGAAAAATAGGAATGCAACCACTTATTTGTCCAGCTTTCAGCCTGTGTTGCAGCAAGCTTACTTAGCAAGAGAGACCTGGGAACAGAGTCAAATGCAGATGTGTAATCAAGGAAGGCACAGCGAACGTATTTAGCTCCTTTATCTAAACTAGAGACTATGCTATGGTGGAGGACGACAGCGGCATCTAACGTACTCCTACTATGTTTATAAGCAAACTGGTTGGGGTCGTTGAAAGGTTTTAAAGAGGGATCAAGATTAAGTAAAATAAGTCTTTCCATAACTTTCAAAAAGGGTGAGGTAATTGAAATGGGTCTAAACTTAACATTAGGTCCACTTGTAGATTTAGGCACTGGAACGATCTTGATGTTTTTCCATGATTCAGGTATAATACTTTTGGAAAACGATTCGTTGAAAATGTCAGTTAGCGGGGAACACAAGATGTCGGCACACTTCTTAAGGATAACAGCAGGAACACCATCAGGACCGAGGGACTGAGTAGGCTTGAGAGATTGAAGACACTTGAGGACATCATTCGTGTTAAAGCATGAGAAGCAGTCATTGTTTACACTATTTGAGTTAGGAATCATAACATTTGCTGGGATACATATGAAGGATTCATTAAGCATGTTAACATCTACAGAAATATCATTCAACATTTGCTTACCACCTGTGATTTCCTTTAATAACTTCCACATATTTGATGGGGATTTACATGAAAGAAACTTCTGGTTATAGAGAGCATTCAATCTTTGTAATTCAAGCTTAATCAAAGTGTTCATTCTCTTAACACCAGATTTGTTTTTCATTTTGAACAACCTTTCTTTTTCACGGCGGAGCTTTTTGAGTTGAGAAGAGGAGAAGCGATCGAATTTTAAGAAGATTGTCTCTTTTGGACAACAAACATCAAGACAGAAATTAAGATAATGTGTTATGTTGGCAATTGTGTTATCAAGAGCTTGTTCAGTAAATAGATCCCAGTTTGTGTCTTTTAACATGGACCTTAGATTCAGTATGTTGTCATGGGAATAACATCTGTGTTGTGTTTTCTTTCCAAGTGTGAGAAGACCCTTTTGTGCTGCTTTCCATATACTTTGGGCAATATTCTTATGATACAGTGATCTGAATTTAGTAGTGGGGCTCTTTTTCGAGCTTCAAATATTCCTGCATCGTTTGTAAACACAAGATCAAGAGTGTTGTCCATTCTAGTCGGGAAGTTGACAATATTATCGTGTCCAAGTGTGATCACTAGAATTAAAATCACCAGTAACTATAGACAAGGAATTTCCGAAGGAGGTGGCAGCAAGGGAAGTAAATTCATCCGCAAATAAAGATAATTCTGTGGAGTTGCATCCAGGAGCAATATACATGTTCGAGATGTAAATGTAGTTGTATTTTGACAAATGTTTAGGTCGACACTTAACGGTGAGACAGTCAATATTGTCACTAGAGAATTTGAAACATACATTATTAGACGTACACCATTGTGAATTGATGAAGATGGCGACACCGCCACCGCGTTTCTTCCTGGAACTACACCGATCTTGTCTGAATAGTTTGAAATTATTTAGATACACTAGATTGTCATCATATAGATCATGAAGCCATGTTTCTTGAAGTGATATGATCCCAGTATTATGATATATAATGGAAGACACCAGCGATTGAAGACAGTTAATTTTAGCCGGCAGGGAGCGACAATTGGTACTCATAATTGCGGGAACAGTCATGAATTGAATAGGGGTATTTTTTAATGCTCTCTGCCAGCCGGCATGATGCTTTTTCTTGTCTTTTTTATGGAGTTGCAGATCAGTAGGTTTTAAGATATTAGATATTCACGAGAATAAATAATCCGATTTGAGGTCATATTTGAATAAGATTTATTGATTAAAAAATCAATTAGAAATGAGAAATTAGATGCAATATGATTTGTAATGTTTAAGGTAATTGGTAGCCCAAGATTTAAGCAGGCCACCAAGGTTGTAGTCTCGTAGAATTATCTTTCGCCATTTCTGACATTCATCTTAACTCCATCACCCAGTGAGATGTGCACTGAACTCAGACTCTCCTTCTGTTGTCCATCTTTGCATTGAGTCATCTCATCTTTAATCATCCTCCACTGCTCGATTAGCTTCCAGGTATCCATTGTGATCCATTCCTTTTCTTTCCTCTTCTTTCTTCATAGAACACTTGTACATGTTTCCTTGGGCATTATCGTCAGAGAGTTCTAGTATTATTATACACAGGTTTCCTCAGTGATTCCAGGTAATGTCTTTGACATTTCTCTGATGACCGCAGGGAAGGCGACTTTTACTGTATGATCCCTCAGGTTTTGATTGTTGAACTTGAGTCTTACTATGTCTTTGGTTGGTTTTATGCTTTTCAGCCTGACGTTGAAGGTTTCTAGCACTAAATGACGGTCTCAGTCCACACATACGCTTTCTTTACCTTTTAATGAGTCTCAACTTTCTTGAGATTGATATCAGATACATCCGGTATTCCGGATATTCGTCAGTGCCAGTCCACTTCACTCGCCTTGTGTATATGCTTTTGCAAGTACATACTGCCTCCGACTACTATATGTCTGAAGGCTAATAACTCTGAAAACAGTTCTCAGTCGTCATTCATTTTGCCAGGTGAGAGCCACTCGACCCATGATAAATTCTCTTCTCGAATTTTCTGCTCCCAGTTTTGCATTCATATCGCACATAGTGATGTTGATGTCTTCATTTGAGATTTCGTCAACTGTAGTTTCTAAATGTCAATAAAGTGCTCATTGTTGTCATCTGGGTGGCCGGAGTAAATGACTGAATATTCAGTTGACAAGTTGGATAATCCAAACCCATTCTACCTGCCCTCGCAGATTCCCACCACTTCCATGCCGTACTTTCAAATTCCTATGGAAAAGTGTATAACCCTACCAGCTTCGTATGAACATTCCATGTCCCCTTGCTTACTCTTCCTTTCAATGTGAGAAGACACATCATCACCGATGAAACTGGTAAGCTGTATTAAACAGAATGCGATTGAACAATGGAAGTTATCGATCCCTTTCTTGTCTTTCACGTCAGAAGATGTACAAAAGTTTCTGTAAAATCAATCCAGCCAACTGTAATTTCCACGAATAATGACTGGCCTGAAGACTGTTATAGTTTCGAATTGCAAACACAAACAAGAAATCAAGTGTCGGCAATTAAAATTCAGACCTAAATACACATACTTAAGTAGAAAAGCAAACCACTAGCCTGATCTCACAAATTCCATTTTCAAGCTGTAATCCAGCCAAACCGATGGGCAAACAGTAGTTTTGAAAATGAATTTCATTACTTATCTATGAGACTGGATTAATGTGGATATGAGGGAGATGCAAATTCACCCTGGTAATTGTTCAGTTATGCGCTAATGGGTTACGATTATTACTCTGGAACTTGGATGCTAAAAGCACTTATTCTGCTAATATATATAGCTTTCCAAAGTAAATATCCGATTTCGTAAACACAACTGAGCTGTGAATGCATCATATGTGAATGCTTAATACGACTTGACTACAGGTTTCGATTTTATACAACACATGAAATTACTCTAGTGAAATTTGAATGTGAACACACCAACATTCTATAGTTACCATTTGAGAGACCTCTGTGTTCTATCTCTGTTGTCGTGAAGAGTAGAAGGATATCACAGGTGTGAAATGTTATTCTGATTTCATTTGAAGTGCGTAAAGGAGGGGAAAGTAACGACGGTTAAGTCTGAAATATGCTTCTCGTCAACATAGAAATTAGTGTCCATTCTGAAATATATTTGAATACTCATTATTGTCAAACTATGGAGCTTTCTTTAGAAGCTAGAAACGGCTGAAACGATAAAATTAAACGTGTGAAGAAAAGAAAGGTACAAAAGTAACATCAAATGAATCACGAACGAGTAAAGAATTAAGAGCAATAACCAACCAAGGAAAAATGGCCTACACATGAGTGGATTAAAGGAAAAATTGATAAAATCGGAATTCATCTACACCTCTGATATGGGAACATATTCATGCTGCTTAAATTAAATATGGCTTTCTTTCAGGATTTTAAGAATAAAATACTTCGCTGGACAGAAAATAATCAAAGTCAAAACTTCAGGGAACAAACATCACCATATAGGACACCTTCCTGGTGAATATGTTAAATTGATGCAAAAAGCTGATATCCGTATCAACATATGCGAAGAATGACCAAAACAGAGAAATAGAACTTGTGCCTGAGAATAAATTTCCCAATTAGTCAATGAAGAATATGGGAAAGGAATCAGAGTTAGGCCGCTGTTAAGCAGTAAAAATAATGGAAGGATCATGAAGGTTGCTCAAAAGTAAGATTGGTGTTTTAGGAAAACTGAGACTTGTATCAATTCATCACAAATATAAGGTATTCTGACGATTGAATTTATAATTTGTCTACGATATTTATTTTACTGTAGCAACATCAGCCCCCACAACAGGTAAGAATTCAAACAATCATTTAACATATGACTTCGCGGTATAATCGCTTGTGTAATGTCTTTTTAATAGAAAATATTCGTTACTTGTGTAATTTCTGTACTGATTCCTATTCTCAGACGAGGCAACAGTACTGACACTGCTCAACACTCAACTATGAGTAGGTCATCCAATACACGCTGTTAATCCTGTGACTCCGGATTCTAATCGGGAGTTGTGAATAGGTCTACAGGTGAGAGGAATATTGTCAGGTGAATGACTACTCTCATTTGAGAATAAGGTCAGCTGTAGGAAATCCGACAGAGGGTTTTGACAATACTCACGATCGAATCTCAAGTTGAGAAAGATAATTTGAGCAGGACTTTCATACTGGTTGGACTGAAAGGAGCTTGCAATATCTGGAGATGTTGATTTGTAGTGGCAGATGTCCACCTGCTACTAGGAGATGACTGTGAAACAGTATTCAACTTCGAGAGGGATGCTCTAAAATCATTCGAAACCCGATGAATCACATCTGGAATTAAGTGAACTTCTGACATAACTCACATTCTTTAATGCCATTTTGTTGAATTCAGCGAGAACCTATAGGAATATTCTTACTGAAATCTAATTTAATTTATCCTCTCAACAGCTGATTTAGTCAGCTGGTTTACATTTCATTTATTTCAGGTTTTTGTTACGGTGAAATAAATAAAATTTACAAAACAAAGGATGTTAGTTCGAGGGTCTCACTGAAACACCTTAATGTTCAGTTAAAGCTAATTCAAAATCAGATGAAACAACGTGAAGTCATCCTTATTACATCAACTAGAATAATACAAATGACACTGATATGTAGCACTGGATCTGAAATGTTTTAAGTACTAAGATTTAAGTAAGGGATAATTTTAAGGTGAACTCAAAGAAACAATTAAAACGTTGGTAGAAAAGATAAGTTAAGTGAGTAGTGGACCTTAGGTCTGAATAGAAATTAAGTCGTATAGAAAATTTGGCGATTTTCGAAGGAAATACTTCCTTAACCAGAGAAGACAAGCATCAGGATTAGGTTACATTGATTCAGTTAATATAGTGATAAAATCAAAAAAGTTGTTTGAAAGTGTGGTTTGTGTTTACGGAACACTGAGATTTGTATAATTTCATCAATACCATTACGTATTTTTTCGAATGGTTTCTTAGGTTCTTTCCCCTTCTCGGTGAAATGCTCATACATTCTGAGTAAATGTTGTCTATACTGACTAGGACACTATAGTCTAAGAAAACTGTTTAAACGAAATTTTATTCCGTGCCACATTTATCCTGAAAAGCCAAAGTCTACACTCTCACACACCCCAAGCTGTCCGCACAGATAGACAAATAATTCCTCCTTGTTCGTGTGTGATATAGAGAGATGATGAATGCGTATATTTGGCGCCGATTTCATCGATGGATCTCAGAGTATTGACGGAAATCTGTGTTGCAAAGTTACGAAAGAGTTGGTAGTCGTTTTTTGAATTCACTGAGTTGTTGTTGTCTTTTCATTTTCTGATTTATCTGTGATAATCTTCTCAGTATACCTTATATGTTTTCTTATTAGTAACCTCATCATTGTTGCGCACATTCATACTAATTTGTACGCTTCAATTAATATTTTGAATACTATAGCATCAACCACCACTACAGCGCGTGAGTATTAAATCTGTCATTTAACTTATTACTCAAGGATATAATCTTGTTTCTGACATTTCCCTTTTTGTGAAATTTCTATCCTTGTTCCTAGTCTTCGATGAAGCAGGATTTGTGAGTAGGCTACTCAGCACATGGCGATATCCATGAGTTTTCAGCCCAGTTTTAGAATTAGTGAATTTGTCTACAAATAAGTGGTACAATATCAGATAAATAACCTCAACGCATTCCGACTGACGCCAGATGTTATCGAAATTTCACGATTCATTTCCAAATATACAAATATTATTCAATCAGAGCATACATCTTGCAGAAGTCTCTTAAATTTCGATATGCTTGCTTCAGAATCCATTTCTCGTACTCGTTTATTTCGCCGTTCCCTATCAATTTAATGAATTCGGAACAAAGTGCTTATACTATTTCCTATAGACGTCTTACATTGTTCTTAAATTTAGCCTACGTTAGCTAAATTTCATAAGTCCTCTGTGAAATAATTCCACTATGTCATCTATAGCTGTCGACTCAGGGTTCAGTTATTCCCTATTCCGTATCCCTTGAAATACTGAAAAGATTAACCACCTTTCCTGCAAGTATGTCAATGACGTAGTATTCCGTAACAGCTTGAATGTACTAACTTTTGGATTTCATTTCTTTATAGGATGATGATATTTGCTTTATCCACACAAACATTCTACCCCAGTGATAAATGAAACGACCGTAAAACTTGCTGAAATGAGAGATAAACTTCTGACAAAGAACCCTAAAATAATATTTTTTTCATAAGATAATTGGCTCATAGGCACGCATTAATACGCTTCCTGCTCAGCTGTTAAAGTGTGCGAATTTATGAATGAGCTAGGTTTTCGACACAGTGAATTTAAACAGCTCGACAAGGTGCAGGTGTGTATGGATCTTGTTCTTGTCAGAAACCGAATCTATCGAGCCAACAGTTCTGTTCACAAATGAAGCAGACCATATGTAATCCCCCATACTACTACAAGACCTAACTGTAGCAGTGCAGAAATATGTACTTGCTTTTCTCGAATAGCTCTTCAGCAAGATCCAAGACATCGTCCAACATCATCTACTATTTCTAATTTATAAAATAGTTTGAGTTCAAACAATAGCGGAAAGAGTTAGAGACTAAACTTCAGGACTATTCCGTGACACTAATTGCATCTCTAAAGCGAAAACCATGTTTATTCTCCGTCTACCAAAGGGAACGTGTACAACACTGTAAAGGATAAGGGGAACACAAAAGATCAGTAACTAGTGGAAGTTTCTGATAGTATTATTTTTCACAAGATGAAATGGTTTCACCAGAGAATAAAACTTACCCAAGTCACAGGCGTACCTTTCAAATTGTTTTCCAATGGAAATCTGAATATTGGTATTCGATAGTAATTTCATTTTTACTCAATACCCAACATACGTTTCTGAATGCTAATTGTCACAGTTCAACACTGAAGCTGAACTTTTATTTAAAATAATCGGACTCATAGACACACTAAATGCACAATGTCACATAATAGTAAACCCCTTCTTTATTTTCAGCTTCTAATGGATTTCTGAGTTCAATATTTGGGTGAGGAATATTATATATCATTGATTTATTAGAAATTTTATGCAAATGAATTTTATTTTCTAATGTATGACATTCATACAGAATTCGAAGTAACAACTATCCCCTCAACAATATTTCGTAATTGAAATAATTCAGAAATTGTAGAATTTCGTTAGCAGCAAACGAAACATGTTTGATAGAAGGTTGGAGGCAGTCAGCACGAATCTTTAGACCAAAATTCCATTCACAGATGTTAACACTGAGCTATTCGGGATAGTGGTTGACCTACTGTAAGACTATGTTGGATACTTTGATTGGACACCAGTTATTAATTAATGCCGTGTATTTAGTCCTTGGTATTGGTCGAGCCTGACTTCTATCTGTTAGGTTTGCAGTGTGACCACCATTTTAGGTGGTCTACCATCACGATGGACTCTGAATAGTTTTCAGATGTTTGTGAGTGATTGTTAAGAAGAATTGTCAACACTAAAGCTCTGAAACTCAGTGCATGCATTTCAAATACTAATTATTAATGTATCCTGTCACAAAAATGAACACAAGCCAAGTTCATTCTGACACTTTCAAATTTTCAAATTCATTCACAACTTCTAATCCCTTTCAGTGATTCTCATTGGCTAAATATTTGAATTCACTATCTTCCTTTGTGCAACCACTCGCAAAGAAGTTGGCCAATTGTTTTTTGCATGTATAAATTTACATCTGTTTTGGATGCCTAAATGATCACCTAATAACATCATATGTGTAAACTTGGAATCTACAATATATAAAAGATGTCATCAAATAAGGTTTAGTTTGATTTCGGAAGTGTCATATTAGTCTGTAGAAACTGCTAACTGCAAATCATAAAATAATCTCTACTTTTTGTTACGTATATAATTCAGAACGCGTGAGTTTATAGATAAAATTGGTATTTTATGTAATAAATATTATGTAATAACAATAAATTAGTCGCCTAATTAATGTGAATCAAATAGAACATCAATATCATAAGGAATATCCACAGGTAATTGTAACAATAAAAGTGATCTTGCACAGCCAGTGTCTTAGTTTACGTGGTTGGAAACCCACTACTATCCCAACATTAAACGGAACGGTGGAGCTGGTAAATGACCAGTATAACTGGCAAAATGTTTTCGAATATTGTCATCACTCGCGAAATTCGGACCTTCTAACCCAATAATTAGCACAATCTGAGTGTATGTAATTTCAATGGAATTAAGGAATTCATCCGTTCCAGTGAGAAATTGCAATTGTCACCAGTTAAGCGGTACCGTGAAGCAACCAGTATATATCTGCAAATCTCTACCTAGCAGACTGACTGCCCCTAATATGATGGTTGTGGTACCGACCTAAAATTAAACCAACACAAAGTGTGTCATAAACCTACACCTGTTCACAGACTCTTTTATTCAAAATTCGTAACTCAAATTTTCATATCCATCCACAGTTGGAAATTTCCTTCCTGGACTTGGTGGCACGTGAGTAACACATCCGACAGTTTTACTTGGATATTACAAACTTTATATAATTTCTAAAATGCTCATAAACTCTGTTTGACTTAAGTGAGAAATGACTGCAGATTTTTGATAATCAGTATCAATAAACGATTTGATGTTGTCCCTCTTTAAATTGTTTCCCTATTACCTTGTCGTATTTTCTGTACAACATTGAATTGAATGTAGTCAGTAGAATCCAAATCACACCTCGAACTGTCGACCACTATCTATAGCATAACTCATTCACTGCAAGCTAAAAAGAGTCTTAATCAGTTTTGTATTCCAGCAGTGGAAGTCGTGTTG